ATCTAATTGATGGAGGATAATTAGCTCCTCCCTAATTAGAGTGAAGTGTGCTTCTTTTCACTCTGTGGATGATCGCTTATGAATGAAAGGCCACAAATGGAAAGCTCAAGATGTGCAATGTATCAGGAACTAATTTGCTTAAACTATTTCTGAAAGCTTATTCAATTAATACCCAAATAGTAGGCTTATATACGAGTGTTTGCAACTGACTTCAGTTGTGGGCAGGCATGTGGTTGCCACAGAGTTGAGCATTAATATCACCCTCAGTTACCATACGCTGTGCAGGCACCAGGAGCTGCAAGCACCAGCATGGAGGATACAGCACGTGGAAATAAAGGAAAACCTTCTGGAAGTTTTATCTGCTGCTTCATCATCTCACATCGTTTTCTCAACTCTGAAAAAGAACTAGTTGCAGCCTAGTGATTGATAAATTTTGGAATTTTTTTTTTTTTTTTTAATGGCTAGCCTATGAAACTTGCAGAGGTGTCTTACTGCCAGAGAACAGATATTCAGTGTCCTTTGGAAGCCAGATGCTTATATCCCATTTGGCACCAAAATAGCTAGCTATTTTCCAAACAGCTTCTCTAAAAAGACTCTAGATTACTCTTTCTGTTACACAGCTATGGGTTATTGTCATAATTGGTCTCTGTTACAGCATTTTTACTTCTTCCCAAAATTTGACTACTTTTGCCTGTGACTGCCTTTGGTCTCCTGGCTGCAGAAAGAAAACTGGAGATTGGCTGATGATTGATCACTGTAAAGTACAAGTGCTGAGGCTTGGCAAATGTACTGATGTATCAGAAAAACTGTAAGAGAAGATGTGGAATTCATATAATTAAAATGTGAATAATTTATAATTACATAATCAAATTGTAATTTATATGGTTAAGATGTTCATCCATATCACAGTCTGAGTGCAGATATAAGTTTATAGGGACATATACTTCTTTCTGGATTAAAAGGAAGTTTGGTGTTTGACACAAACCCACTGCTTGAGAGCCCAACAAATTTAATGGAAACTCTCTCCTTGAGTTTCTGTGTACTTTAGCTGAGATGACACAGCTAGAAATACCAAGGGAGAGCAAGCAGGCCTCCTTTCCTAGTTACGAAAAAATCTTGAAACGCGTCCCTTAAGGATTTGAAACCCTGGAAAACAACAACACAAATCCCATAAACTTTTTCTCCCCAAGAGGTTTAAATCAGTTTAATGGTTTGGGAAGTTATGTTCTGCTGCATTGCTGCCAATCTAACATATTGAGTGAGACAGAAGCTGGGGAGTCAGAGGGGACACGGATGAGGTTAGGATTACCTGCAAATTTCTCATGTTTCCTGAGACTGGAGAATTGCTTCAGTTCCCTGGAAGCCTAATACTGTTAATCAGTGAAGAAAGATTTCACTGTGTCATTACTTGCTGCAGCTGAAACTCAAGGAAATTACTTGGGTCTCATTATCAGATAAAGTTAAGATTCCAGTATAAAAGAAAATTCTTTTTCACACTCAGGTCAACAGTAATTTATTTTTTGTCGCTCGGATTTTAAAAATAGAGAGCCAGCAGAGGAGAATACGACAGAACTGCACAAAATCTGGATACTGCAGATCTGCTTTGATACAATAACAGTTTCCAGCCTCTCTTTTATCTTCATAACCATTCCTAGGTATGGTGGGAAGAGATTAGAGTGGCAAACTGAGCAGTGCATCCATCCACTGTGAGGCACTTGCCCCACTCTATTATTTTGTGGAGGCTGGAGCTGTAAAAGTGGCTGCTGCCATCGTTGAGACCTGGTGCTGTCCAGTGCACCTTGGAGATTAAATAAAGCTCAGGGGGCAGAGAGTGTAACCTTGCAAATCCATGTAGGGAAGAAGGGTTAGACTCTGGGTCTGTTCTGATCCTCAGCTTTCCCTCGTGGGGAGGGACCCTACAGGCCTTCCTTGGGGCAGGGTGTCTCTCTTTGGCATCGTTGGAACCATGCTTGGGCTGGGACCCTGGGCCCCCTCTGTTCTTTGTGCTGCCTGCTGCCACACTGAAAGGGATACCTGGGAGAGCCTGCCCACTGCCACACAGCTGGTCCTCAGGCACCCTCCGGCCTTGCCTGGGGGGAGGCTGATAACAGATATGTGGGTCTGTGAATGGCTTTTGAGTGGGATTGGTGGTGTGTCTGTGTGTTTTACTGCTGCAGAAACCCTTGCTGTTGGACCTCTGTACATTTTCTCCTGGGAACCCTTGCTGTAACGAAAGCTGAGCTGAAGGGCTTGGTTACGTCCTAGGCAATGGCCAGTTTCCAGAGGGGTTTGATGCCAAAGTTCAGATGTTTTTCTTTTCCTTGAAAAACACAGCGCTGACTGGCTTAGGCTAGTTACAAGATGTGAACTTAGAGAAACAGGATATGCTAGCAGGGATGACAGCATGAATGTCCCCTTCTCTCTCGTGTCATTAGAACGAGATGCAGCTGCCAGCTCAGGTGCCTGATCCCAGAGCAGGACTGAAACAAAGGAGAAGCCCAGACGAGTTCTTGTTTTCCTTCTAAATAACTTGGTAAGTACTTGGCAAAACCTCTGGGAGTCTCAGTGGTGAAACGTAAAACCTTCCTGTCCCTTTGAGTACCCCAGCCACATCTGAACAAGGATATGTGACTTTCTGAAGGGAGCTGACAGGCTAATTGGAAGGTGCTGCGACCTTCACCCTGCTGCTCTTTGCCAATGTCCATCTTTTTCCCCCCCACGAGCTGGGAGTGTGGAGAGCCTTGCTTTACAGCCCAGAGGAAGTCTGGAATGTCAGTGCTGATTAAAAGGGGCAGAGCAGCCTTCCTTGGCAGAAGTCTTGAGGGCCAGTGTAGCTCCAAGGCCAAAATCACCCAGTCTTTAAGCTAAAAATGTTTTTGGATGTGCATTATATTTGCTAGAGGGCTTTTTTACTTTCTCTTGTTCGGTGACTGAAATTGGAGTGCTTTTTCTACATCAACTAAATGTGACATAATGACCAAAGCTAAAAGTTGAAGTTATTCCATGGAGGAGAAAAGGCTCATAGAGAACTCGGCTGTCTCTGAAGTCAGATGGTAACTCCCAGGTACAAGGCTGTGTTACCCTAAACTCACTAGCAGTCAAACAATTAGAAGGCTGCCTCTTTTTTCAAAACCCTCATTTCCCTTCACTTGCCCCCTTGCTCAAAAACCCCATTCTCCACCTCTCCTACGGGCTGTGCACTGTGGCACACTGATGAAGGGCTTTTCTCCTTCTCCACCTGGATCAGGTTCTCACCAACTCCCTCTGTTATCCTGGCTCTCTGAGCCCTATCATTTTTAACTGAGAGACCTTAGTTTTCTAAGGCACCTTATTTGCCTTGTTTTAGGAGAGCAGGATGCCCAGCTTTCCATTTCAGTCATCTATCTGTAGGGAACCAGAATTAGCACTTTGCACAAAATTGAAAGGATAGTATCAGCTATGATATGATATGAGTCAAATAACTATTAGTTGTTATCTTAGCTGTTAGTTGGTAGCCAAGGTGAACAGCTCTGGCTGTAGAAATTGTGTGTGCACATTTGGATACATGGTTCATCTTCAGCCTTCTTTTTTTGACTGGGAAGGAGGTCTAAAATGCCAGCAGACAACTATGACTGTCAGAGAACGTAACTCTTGTAGTCATGTACCCTCTGGTTTTTCAGGTGCAACATCACTGGCCTCTCCTAAGCTGAGCTCCCCCTTCTTTCTAATAGAGAGCAGAACAAGACTTAAAGAAACTACGCTAAATTTCAATATTCATGACTTTTCTTCAACACTGTTGTGAGGACAAGGATTGCATCCTTTGCTGTGCTCCACTCTCCTGACCCTGAGGACTCCTTACAGCATGCAGGGGAGCAGGATGAGCAGCCAGGGATACCAGAATGAGCCAGTGCTGAGGACTCCAGTAGACTTGCCCCTTTGACTTATTGCTGCCCCTTAAATGTTCACTGGTGCACAAGTGAGCAGGAACCCAAGGAAAGGAGCCACAAAAGCAGCTTTGGAGAGAGCAGGATACCCCTTTCTCTAGCCCTGGCACATAATCAGATCCTCCCTGAGGCTTTCCTTTCCGTATTTCTTTTCTGTACCTGAGGTGCAAATGAAAGGCAAACAATATGGGTCAGGTGTGATGGTCTTGGGTAATGAACAGCTGGGAATAATTACCTGCTACCAGGAGGAAGGATGATGGATGGAGGCATGGAGCAGCTGTGTGGCATCTTCAGCTGGCTGCTGTGACAGGAGGGGAATCAGAAATGCCCAGAGAAATTGCTCGGAGGTGCTGTGGGGCTGAGGCAAAACATTAGTGCTAGAAACAGGCTACAGCACCCTGCTGGGGAAACACTTTCAGGGACATTTCTTATTGCGAGACCCCTATGCTTCCTTCTGTAAAATTTAATATTAGCCTTGGCTTCCATCAAGGCATACATTTTCCTAATGGGCTGTGGGAAGCCTCTGCTCCACTCTTTTTAGCCTGGAACTGTGAGCTGAGATGTCTCACTGCCTTTCTGTGTAATATAAAGCAAGAGCAGAGAATTTTGAGGAGAAAGGGGCAGCAGGCTGAGGTCAGCCTGAGGGTTCACAGGGGAACAAATGTCCTTCTAAGGCTCTGGGATGCTGTGCCTGAGGAGGGAGGAATGAGTGGAGCCAGAGAGCCCCTGCTTTCTGGGATAGCAGAGCCAAACTCACATGTCATGGGCTGTGTTATATGGCTGGGACAGTTCCTGTAGACCACAGCTTCTCCCCATGGCTATTTCCTACAGCTGGGGCTAGGAGATTGCTGTCACCAAAATGCATGAGAATCTCCTACATAGCCAGGAGGCCAGTGAAGAGCCCAGGAAACTGTTCCCCTTAAATAGTTAAATGGCTGCCTCTCGACAAGCACAATGTCACATTGAATTTGAAACAGGGAACTTTTTATATTTTCCCCCCTGATTGTGCTGGCACCTGGCAGATGCCTGTTTACCACAGGCATCCATACACACAGCAATCAAAGGAAATCAGAGGCACGGATTAGCAACAGCTGCAAGTCATTAGTGGCAGCCATGGGAAAGCACAGCTCTGCACCCCGCTCGGCAATAACCAACGTGAGTATTCCAGAGCGCAGGGGTTACCGCGGGGCACGCCGCGGGCACCGGGGACAGCAAACAATTGCCTCGCTTGTCTCTGGAGATGGCTTCTTCCCTCTCCCCGAGGCAGCAGCAGTGTGCTATCGATGAATCAATCGCACTTTATTGGCCCATGAGCGTTAACTCTTTGGGAGGCCGACTGGGAGCTGTCAGAACAGGAGGATGGGGTCTCCACCTGTACAAAATTTCTAGTTATTCTTTGTTTTCTTTGGGCTGGCATCTTTGGCAGTGTCTCAACACAAGTGAGGACTTGGGATCTCCTAGAGTTAATGTTCATTTTTTCGGGAAGTTTTATTAGAGCGAATGTAAAGCAAAAGCTGACCAAAAGCCTTATTTGTGTATCTGATTTCTTTATTCAATTCATTTTGAACCAGAATAGAGTCCAAATTTTATTTAAAAACTTAATGTTGATTGAAATTTCCATTGCAGATTTCGGCAGCTTGGGTTTCTATTTTGATCAGTCCCCGGAAAAGCTGATTTTACTTCAAAGCATCTCTGACTCTTGGAGGAGCAGGAAGCTGGTGGCCTATTAATAGAGAGCAGAATCCAACATCACTGAGGCATGGCTGATTCCCCAGCACCCCTGACATATTAGGCTCTATCTGCCCTCCTTTCTCTCTGGCTCAGCACGGCTTTCACCATCACAGGTGCAGTGCCCAAGCTGTGTGTGTGGTTTTGTGGTCCACAAGAAGGACCTGTCTGCCTTGCCCCAGCCAGACGGGAACCCCATCCCTGCCTTGCACTGACTATTGCCATGAGGAGGTGGAAGCATGTGACAGAGTTGACAGCAAGATGTACAAATGCTGATATCCAGTACTTCAAAATAATACCCCTTGAACTTCTGTTTTTTCTCCAGGAGGGGAATAGGAGGAAAAGGAATGGAATCAAGGAAAGTAGTCACAGAGACTAGAGAAATGGAAAGCTGAGTGGACAGAAAAGACCTTTCTGGAAAGGCCATGGTCACCCTGACCCTTGTAGCCCCTGGATTTCTTTCCAGCTTCAGTTACTTTCAGCTTCCCACCTGCAACTCCCAACACAGGCCTTATTTCTTATCTTCAGTCCCAAGCCTCGCTAATTACCAAGGTTTTGTCAGACCCAGCTTTCTCCAATTCCCTTCCTCATATGTTCTCTCTGCTGTTACTAGAAAAGCTGAATTTGGTTTCCTCATGGATGACATCATTTACATGGAGGCAAAAATGGGATTTAGCCTTGTCTTCCAAGGCCTCTTAAGATGGCTCTACAAACAGTAAGAAACATGCAAACAGAGCATTTAAGGTAACACAGGGAAGTATAATTTTAAGGTAAAATAAAAGTGAATAATCTCAAAAGACCAAGCATTGCAAATATTTGCATCTTCTAGTGCAAAGGTAAAACCAAGGGGAAAAGAGGGTGAAGGCACCTTAGTTCCAACATTCCCTCAGTTCTGCAGCTGTTTCCATTGGAACACTATTTTAGGATCACAAAAGTCTACAGAGAGCAAGACAAGTATTTGTAAATGAGCTTCATTGCTACAAGGTGCAGAACGTGAGGTGGCTTTCTGTGTGGTGCCTGAAGGAAGCTCTGAGAAAAGTCCTAGGTAAGTGCTTGTTTTTAAAGGATTCACTGATTTTTTCTTAAGTTTGTGAAATGTTGAAAGAGTGCTCTCCTCCTTCATACTTTTGCTAAAATGGTGAGTAAAGGAAGATGCATATTTCTGAAGAACTATTTCTAGAGGGTTTTTTTCTCAGTAGGAGACACTGTTTTCTGCATGTATTTCTGTCCTATCTTCAAGTTAGGAGTTAGTGTTTTACTTGCTGAGTTACAAATCATGCTGGATTTTGTTTTGGTACTTTAAAGTAAGACTGTGGTTCCTCCTGTGCTTCAGCTCAATGTAGTCTCAGTGGCTGGTGTTCAAAGTACAGCGTGTTGCGTGCATTTGTGGTGCTCAGGTGTTCTGGGCTCTTCTTCACCTTTGAAATTCATAATGCAGTTCCTTCTGTTCCAGCTAGACATGCGAATCCAGACATTTGCTTGCTAATGTTCTGACAATGGTGGGTGATAACTTGTACCCACACTGTGAAAGGGACTTTGTTGTCAAAACTGGCAAATAGTCATATAAATATTATGCCTTCAGAGAAATTAACTTCCTATCTTCTTGATATTCCTTTTTTTCTTTTCTTTTTTTCCCTACCTGTAGCTGTCAAGTTTGTGTTGAAAGGACCACCATAGTCCATCTCTGAACTCTTAGTAGAATCAGTACTGATGTGCAGAGAAAATCTGAGGGAAAGTCAGTAAAATGATGAGAGTGTTAGAAACTGGCTGTTTATGAAGTGAATCTAAAGAGGTTTGTGCATTTCAGTGAATCAGAAACAGACTGAGGGATAACTTGAACGTTCCATATATGTACCTATATTTGGAAGACATAGACACCTTTTCCAGAACTATTTTTCTGTGAAAGAGCTGCTCTCTAGTCCCTGCCAGTTCCCTGGGTTTAACCTTGGTAAGAGAGGTGGTGTTACAGGTATTTGAGTAGTGCAAATAGAGGAACAGCTCAGCAGAGGAGAGCTTCACTTGCAGCTTTAAAAGGAAAAAAAAAAAAAGAGAAATTTTATTTGTTTGGTGTATTTTTTTAACAATAAGATTATATGTGAAGTCAGCAACTACTTCTTGGTACAAGGAACCCTTCATTCACCCGTGTCTTTGAGGATATTCAGGAAAGAAGGGTTTTTTTTCATGGGGTAGAGTGCTATGTCCTGTTGGGCCACACCCTATAGAATGGATGTCAAACTTTATTCTTACTTGCTAGTAAGGAGTTTTCCAAGCTTGGGGAATTTGTTCTCCTGTTTTTTAGCTCTTATCTTTCTCTGAAATATCATGGTCAACAGAGCTCTGGATAGAAGATCTAAAGCCCTATGGATGGGACTGGTTACATAATGCCCAAAGTCAGAATGATGTGTGGGGTCAAGTAATGAAAATCCTAAGGCTTTTTTTGCTTTTCTTTGCAATATAGGACACAAATTGCCTTTTCCAGATGTCTCAGCAATTGAATTTCCAGCTATCAGAGAGCTGTGAGATCTAATAGTGTCACCAGCCCTTCCCACTCTTTCTGGTACACAGGCAGTGGTGTAGGCTCTTGAATAAACCTTCCAAAAGTTTGAAACCTGGGCTTTGTGGACAATGTGCAGCCCCCTGGTAGGTAGGAAGAAGTGATCTATCAGAGCACTGCTGATGCTTAAAACAGTGTCTCGTGGAAAATATGAATCCTGTGTTAAAGGCCTTAATTTCCGAGTGTCAGACTATTCACAAACACAAAGAGGGGAAATTAAGGAGAGATATTAGGAAGAAATTCTTTACTCTGAGAGTGGTTAGTTACTGGAACAGGTTGCCCAGGAAGGTTATGAATGCCCCATCCCTGGCATTGTCCAATGCCAGGTTGTATAAAGCCTTGAGCAACCTGGCCTAGTGGGAGGTGTCCCTGTCCATGGCAGGAAGGCTGGGACTAGATGATCCAACCCTTAATGTTCTATGATTCTGTGTGTAAGTAACAGAGTTTGGTTCTAACTTTCATCAGGAGGGGCAGCAAGTACTGCTGGCAGTTTGCTTGTACTTGGAAAAACAGATCTCCTGCAGGTTATGTGTGTATCAGAGCTGCAGGGCCTACAGAGAGATGGGGTTGTGGAAATTGAAATATGAAGCTTAGTCTTCCTTCTGTAATTAATGATTTCTATGCCAAATCAAAGTTAGTGTTTCCAGCTTTCTAAGTTTGAGTGTGCACAAGCAGTAGGTGAAATACATGCTTGGGGAGCCTTAGAAGGAAACTGGGATCTGGATTTGCACTGAGTGTTTTTTGTCAGTTCATCCTTCAACACTAAAAGCAAAAGTTTACTATTGTAATTTTGATTCTGTCTTCACTCCAGCAGCCAGGGAAAAGGATATACGATGTTGTGGTCATTTTATTTCAAAGCTGCCTAAAGTGCCTGATTGTAGCCTGTTAGCTGGTTTCAGCTGGCTTTCTTGTGTGAGGTCTGCTGCACACAGGACACTGACTTGTATCTCAAAAAGTTCTTACAGGGAGCAGTGGTCCTCACTCAGCCCATCCCACTCTAGTACAGTGTGGGTAGTCACAGCTGTGCTTGGTCAGTCTCCTCACTCCAGAGGAAACTTGTGCTTCTGAGTTTAGCTCCTGTGCATAATGTCCAAGCTGGATGGCTGGAATTGCTCTAAGAGGATGCTATGAATACCTGTCTTTATGTAGCACTGGCATCTCTGTTCAGGAAGGCCTTGAATGGAGCATCTATGCTGACTTAACTGCTTTTCACATCTGTTGGAGGCTGTATGTATGTACCCTTTCAGGTCAAGAAAAATGGTTTTGTAGAAACCTTGCTGTTAAAATGACTTGCTGCTCAGGATTAAAAACCAGAACGATTCCATTTTCCACTCCTGACAAGGATCTCTAAGTCTCCATGAGCACAAATACTCAGAAAGACTATCTCATTCTTTCCAGGGAGCTGTAGTGTCTCTGACAAATTGCAGGGTTTTTTCCTTTAAATAAAGCCCTGGGGTTCTTTGCAAGATGCTCCCCGTTCTGATTCATCATCTGAGTGTGCTTGTACGTGCAGGGGGAATGGGGCTGTGTTGCACGTAGCCCTAGAGGCCTCATTAAATTGTGATGTGTGGTGTCACATTTCAAACTCACGGTTCTTGCTGTCCCTAGCTTAAAACTTGATGCAAATGATGAGTAGCAATGGTTCAGAAGCTGTCGTGACAAAAAAAAAGATGCAAAACAATGTATAAAATGATGTGAAATACCCACTTGTTTTACATCCTTGGGTTTTCAATTGCTCAACTCCAAGACCATTGCACTTGAGTTGTCAGAGGTGTGACATGCCCTTTACTCCCCTCCAAAACACAGAGCATTAGAACCAAGTAAGCACTTTGGAAAATGCTCTTCATGACTAATGTGCCACTGGCTGTGATATGTTTGGTCACGTCTTTACACTCTCATTTGTGTTTCCTCAGGAAATCTATCAGTGCTGTTTTGATGAAGGTCAGCATCTGTTTGTACTCATTTAACTAAAAGAAATGTATCGAGAAGGTCAGCAGCTCTCTTAGACCTGAGAGAATAATTAGCAATAAATTATTCTACTTCACAATTGTACTTTTTCCCTTATTTGTTAATTATCTTCAGCCAACTTATAAAATGTGTCAGCACTGAAAGAATTTATTCACAAATAACTACTTGACAAATAGTTTGAGAGGGTGCTGGCAGGTGCTATGGAGGTGGCACGCTCCCTGCCTGGAGGAAGGCCAACAGGGTCACACCGGGGTGGAGAATGGGCAGGACACATGGTATTGGGCTAACCTTGGTGTGTAGAAGAGGTTCCTCTTGACCACACACAGTTTCTGTTCCTTTCCGCTCCAAGGTGCACTCCTGATACCCCAAAAATCCCCAGGCAGGTGGCAGCAGACTAATCCTGAGGTTTAGAGAATACAAGCTGCCATTTGTTTGTTCAGAAGAAAAAACTTTAGTTGGGGTGTGTTAATGTCAAGCTCTCAGGACCACCAAACCCAAACAAATCATTCCTGGGACAGGAAGAAATTAGTGTTATTTCAGAGATGTCATAGTATTATGAAATGGCTTCAACTGGTGACTCAGTCAAGTTGTGACTTCTTTTTTTCCTTTTTTTTTTTTGGCAAAGGTGTTCTCCATGTACTTCTGTCCCTTTGGTGCTGAGCCTAAAAATATGCATGAAAAAAGATGGAAGAACAATGTGCTGGTGGTGTTTTGGTGGATGTCTGTCTTCTAGAAGTCTGAGTCAAGATGTTGGATGGGCACCAAAAAGCATTATCTCCTTCATGTGTCAGCAATTATTCTCATGAATGAGAACTATTGGAAGAACCTGTCTACATCAAATTCAGGTCCAACTCTGTTCTTGTGTGAAACATTAATATAAACCAGTAATATTAATCTTTGCTGATCTGTGCACTCAGTATACTACTTTTAAATTATAAGAAGCAATATGTTCTTATTGTTTCTTAATAGATTTAAGTGATACAATTTCTGACTTAACAATATCACAGGGGGGAAAATAAGTCTATAATAAAACACTATTCCATTCAGAATTTGTCATTGTGCAATGGGACTTGTGGGCAATGTCTTTGTGGAGTCTGCCTGTCTGTTTTAAAGCTCAGGATTTTGTGTGTACTGGATACAGTAACGGGGTGACTTTTGCTGTCCTTGCGTGTGTCCTTTTTCTAGGAGTATCTAAAAGTGTTGACCCAAAGGCCACTTCCTATAGTGGTAAAAGATAAGCCTGTCCCTATCTAGATTAGAATTTAAACTTCAGGGGCATAACTCAAGGAAGACAAAGAAGTAATGTTAATGAAATGAGCTCAAGTACTGGCAATCAAGTTAATTCCTCAGGATATGCTTGATTGAGTAATATGCTGGCTAGTAAATAACCCTCCACCTGCACTGATTTCTTTTAAAATTTGTTTGCATAGCTCATGCTTAAGTGGATTTAAGATATCTTCAGAATAATCTTGACATGAAGAGGCTGCCAGAGGACAAGAACAGTCTTTCCTCATTGGTTTACTCATTCCACAGCTTGGAGAATCGCAGCTAATTGATACTGTTTCCATTTAATTACACATAATTTTTCTGTTTTGCTACCCAGTGAGCCAGGAGAAGAAAACAATACTCTGTCTACATGCAAATCTTCCAATCAACAATTTAAAACCTTTATGCTCCCAAATTTGTTCTCTTTTATTTCAGAATTAAAATGTATGTGCTTGGGCAGGTTCTTACAAGCTTTCATTGACTGGGGTTTCTGTCGCTGATGTTCAGACCTGTAATTTAGTGCAAGAAGCTTCCCCCTCCCTTTCCCCGCTCTCTGAGAGTTGGCATTTTGGCATTGAGTGTTCCCAGCTCCCATCTTTTTGGGCAGAGGTGCCCCAGAAGGACCAGATGTTCTGGTCCTTGGGCTTCTTGTGCTTAGAACTGAATCCCCTTCCGTGTTGTGATGTCCCACCCTCATCTCTGTGCAGGAATGGCTGTACCTGTGTTTTGGTGAATGCTCTGGTGCAGGTACCTGGAATTGGCATTGATGGCACTGGTTTAATGAAAGGTTCTGAGGCAAAGAGTAAATATAGAGGGATAGGGTGGGGAAGTTGGAGGCTTCAGAGGAGAGTATTTTAGAATTGATGCTCCAAAGTAGAAGCCAGTAGGAGTTTCCTGTGGGCTTGGACGGAGCTCTTGGGTGAAAAAGACTTTTTGCATGGATGGCAAGAATGTTGTTGGAGCCGGGCAGGAAAGATGTGTGTGTGTCCAGTCCCTCTTGGCAGTAGAGTCTGCAGAGGCCTATGCAAAGCTTTTGGAAAGAAAATAGGAAATGCTGTAGGGAGGAGGAAAGGGGGAAGGTTAGAAAGTATTTTTAGTAGAGAACTGCCCATGTTTCCGTGAATGATGGCAAAGCCTTCTTGCTCTAGTTTGGAAAAGTAAATATTGGCTATGGGAACAGTGCTCCAGATGCACTGAATCTGCTTTCCTAATGTTGGTGGGCTCAACCCTGTGGACCTGGGGCTTATGTTTGGTTAATCTGGATGCTTCAGAGGGTAGGAAGGCTGATTTTTGCCTTGCCATGTCTTTTCCTTTAGCCAGGCACCAAGTATGCTCCCTTAGCAAAGCCAGACAGTCTGTGTCCCAAGCAAGCCTTACTGACTTGTACTGCAAATTTATGATGAAGACCTGAAAGCTGATCCTACAATGTGACAAAAATATGGAGGGTTTTAAAGAAACCATTGTATAACGTCAGCTGTGCTTTTCCTTTTTCATGAGAAACTTTTTCAGCACAAGTGGAGTGTTGAGTCCAGTGGTTTGGATGAAGGAGGGGGTCTCCTGGCTCTTCACTGCAGAGAGGTGGGAAGCCACCAGGTGCTGTGGGCCAGCTGCTCTCAGTGGGGCTGTGCTGTGTGGGACCTCCCCAGCTCCCATGGCCAGGACGCCCTTTTGCCCTGGAGACTGGCATCTCTCGTATCTTTTTTTCCTTTCCCCTTCTGTTTTAAATTCTTGCAAACCCATCTGTTTGTACCAGGGCTGGTGACTAATGCAATAACTCCTATTAGGTCAAAATAGCTGGAATCATACGGCAATTACACATGCACGCTCACATGCACACAGAAGGGCTGTTCCCCCTGTGCCCCCCTTTTCCCATCTCTGGAACAAAACATTCCCTCACTGTTCCGAGGGCTGCAGCAGCTGCCCAGCTGGCAGGAGCAGAGATGTTAATGCTGTCAGTGAAAGGATGAGTCACTTTGCAAAAGTTATTTAGGAGGGTCACCCTTCTTGTCCCCTTTCCCCTCCAGCCACTGATCCTTTTGGGTTCATCAGATGCTGGAGGTCTGCACTGGCTGCTGCCCGCAGAGAGCACAATGAAGGCTTGTCAGGGCAAGAAGGCTCCTGATGGGAGTTATAAAAATGAGTAGTCCTGTGTTTGACTGATCTGTTAGTCTCCTGAAAAAAGCTTCTGCCTGTCTTGGAAGCATGTGATACCAGGCCCAAGACTGCCCTTTTCTTCATTTCTGTCTGTTTATCCTGATCATTTGCTGTGCTTTTCAATTCTCCCTCTTAACCTGAAATTGCTGAGTGGTTGCCATGGCTGTGCCCTGGCACTCTCACGTGCGTGCAGTGATGGACACTCAGCCCTGCAGTTCCCCTTCCACAGAGCATCGCCCTTCAGGCACAGAGCTGTGCTGAGTGTGTGTGGTGTCCCCTGCATGGCCTAAACCTCCTCAGGTGAGGATGCCACCCTGCAGAGTTCTGGTTATCAATGCTGAAACTGAGCTGTTGCTGAGGTCATGCTGCTGAGGTGCGACTGGAAGTTGTTCTGGCTTCTTCTGTGATTTTTCAATGTGCAAAGTGAGCAGGTGCATGACATGCATGGACCATCTTCTGTGTCCTTCTCCTTGAGTCTATATGACACCTGTGAGAGGCTGCTGAGACCTTTCTATCACTTCTTAACATCAGTAGTTTCTCTGTCTTCTAATGTGTGTCAGCAAGGCTGCTAGAATTTGCATTGGCTACTAGAAGGATTCAGTTTCCTTGCTCGTCATTTCCTGCCATTGGTTTGGAAATTACAGGAATATTTTTTAAATTTAGTAGAGGGAGAAAGAAGAAAAAGAAAAAAAGAGAAAAAATTTTTGAGAAGATTCAGGCATCCTTGATGACAATAGTTCTGGCTGGATAGAGGAATAAAATTCTAAATCAAATCTTTTGTTGCTTTTAACACTTAAAATGTTTTGACAGTTCTCATCATTCCTTTAGAAATGTTTCTCATCACTTCTTAAGTGATCTGCTCATGACAGACAGGCATGCAGTCCCTTTCAGGCTGTGCCACAAATGGAGAAGCGCTGGCTCACAGTACTGATGTGGCAGAGACTTCCACTGATAGCCAGTTGCATGCTCCCTTCTGAACACCATATACCCTTGCTGGAATAGCTAAATTTAACTGGTAAGTCCCACAATTAGTTTGGTGGGTTTTTCTTCCTTATAGATGATCTGATGCTGCTATAACAAAAAAAGTTATTCCTTGTTTCTAAAAGCTGGAAAAGTGTGAATGTGTGCCCATGTGTACGTGTTTTCCCCCTTCTCCTCCCTCCATGCAGCTTTCCCCTGGGGTACAAAGGTAACTGTTTAATTTGGTGGATAAATTGAAATTCTGGCGTTTGAAAATGGCAGGCAACCTAGTTAAGCAAACTTGCATATGTAAGTGAGAAAGAATGGTCTCCCGATGGAATTAAAATGAATATCTTTTTAAGGTAATATGTTCCCTTCCTTGATCCCTGGAAAGATACCGGTAAGTTGACCACGAAATAACAAGTAACTAAGGTTGCTGACAGAAGAAATACAAACCCAGAATACTCATCAGTGCAAACCAGTCTCATGCCATTTTGTGGATGTCTAATTGGCCCCATGTAAAATACTAAATTAAGCCTGAATATTCAGATTAGAGGACTAAAATAGCCTCTATCAGAAGTTTATTCTGTTCTCTGATATTTTTGTCCTATTTTCAACCTTTATAGAGGTGACACATCCCTGCTCAGCGTTACTGGCTGCGTATTGTCAGTCTGGAGTACTGGCGCTCCATCTGTGAGCTCCAGCTAGCAGCAGGTACTGTAAATCATAGAGATTCATGACAAGGCTGTGAAGTTTTCTGAAGGACAAATCACAGTATCTGTGTAGAAAATTACTGTATCTGGTAACCAAGAATGGCTCTTGGTTTGTTAAAGCCTGCTGGGATGTGTTCGGTGATGCTTTAACCATCGTGAATCAAATGCACATGAACCACAAGTGTATTAATGTATGTTCTGCAACTCCTATCTTCCTCATGTGTTCCCTTTCACACTCATGCATATGTTTGTTGCCTCCAGAAGAACTGAGCTGAAATGGAGCATTGGGCTGTTCCAAGGTTTCCTTTTAGATTTGGTAATGGAGAAGATTAAATCACCCAAAAGCATGTGTCCCCATGCTGCTACAGGAGGTACTGGCTTGGATGGGAGGGACCAAAGCATAGTGGGTCCAGTACCTAAATATCCAGTCTGGAAGTCTTTCAGTCGTGATGACACAGGCTGCTTTGTGGTGATGTCCTTGGAGACTCAGCTTGGCTAGTTTGGAAGCGGGTGCAATTTGGATTCAGATGTGACCTTTTGCACACGTTTTTGGATCTGTTCTTCCCAGTATTGCAGGTCCTAGGGTGTCCTATGGGATGCCAGTAGATGAGTGCTCCCAGATTGTGGAGACTGATGGCTTTTGGGATTTAGGAGAAAGCTAAAGGTGACCAACAGGGTGAAAATGGTTAAGCAAAGGGACCTAAGAGGATGAGGCAGCAGCAGCCTGAAGTGAGTAGTTCTCACTCTAGGATGTGGTGAAAGAGTGCTTAAGGCAAATAATTTCTCGTGAACCAAATGCAGCAAAGCCCAGTCAATGCAAACTCTACAGTGCT